TGACCCATCTGATAGCTTTTCTTTTCCAGTTAATTTGGAGTTCGCACATGAATTTGGTGACAATTTTTATGACTTCACGAATAATCCTAATTAATTACAAATAATTTTACTTTTATGGTGACAATCCTCCCTCGAAAAAGTCAGATTTACCTGGAATCGCGATTGGATTAATTTAGACCTGCGGTTCGCAGGCCATCGTTTGTTTGACATGGTTTAACGTTGACGCAAATCGTACGACTTAACGCCCGATAAAAAATACGGACGAAACTCGTGTTAAATTTTTTTCTACGCGTGACGGTGACGTAAAGTGATTTTCATAGTGAATCATCTTGAACTTCATAATTAATGACGAAACGAAAGTCGGACAGCTACGTTTAATGCCAAATGTAACTGGAGCACGAATCTACGGGTGCTTTTCGTTTGGTGACACAAGTCAGTACAAGCATCATTCTATCTTTCTTGACATTCAGCGAATAACAAAGACAGAACGACTAGTGTCGACTTATGTCAAATGGAAAGCACCCATATTGCGGTGAGCATCTCAAGTCTCGTAAACATCAAATGTCATTTTCCGACTCGGCGAGGATGATCTTCGATCCTGCTTCGCGCGGCTAATCACGACCGCCCGTCCAAGACTCGATAAAACAATAACGAGAGAGTGGCAACACGGAACGAAAACGGTTGAACGAAACCTGTATGCCTGTCGCTTCGTTCAGCACCGTGTTCAACGGAGGCCGAGGGTCAATTGCATTTTTCCGTGGAGCGCGTCTTTGGACTCCTTTGATCCCCGAGTTGCCACGCGTGACGCGAGGCAAGGCAAGACGAGGCAAGATAAGGCAAAACGAGGCAAAGTGAGGCGAGGCGAGGCGAGGCGAGGCGAAGTGGAGTGTGGTGAGGCGGGGCGAAGCTCCCGTTCGAACTTCGCAAGTAAAGCGAAGGAACGATGCAGGAACGCGCGACGCGGCGTTCAAGTGGCGCGTCAAACGGCGTTAAAGAGCGACAGAGATACGTACCTCTACGATTGAATGGCCGAACCCGTACGGCGACCTTTATTTTATCCGTAGCCATGACTTTTGCACACCGGTAAACGCGCGCACTCGCTATCACACGATCGCGAAAAAAGCGTTTAGCGCGATTACGCCTGCACGTGATTACGTCTACTCTCGCACGATTTGCACATTATTCTCAACCCATACCGCGAACCTGTCATCTTTCGAACGACACTACGTCTACTGTCTACACCGAGCCTCCCGTGACACACTTCGCCATATTGCTTAAAGCCCGTCGTCAGCGCTGGACACAGGACAACGACGATCGTCCAGGCTATCGAGGCTATCGAATGAACGTGTTTCCGAGAATCGCCGTTAGGAACCGCGAGCGGTTCGATAAACGAATGACGTCACCGATATCTTGGCATCTGCACGTAGGGGTCGCGTCATTCCGCAATTGGGACAAAATATTTTCAAATTCCCCAGAACATCCCTATGATGCGGAATTTTTCCCTGTTCAACATGATTATTTTGTTTTTCGATATTGGTAGCTTTTAGGTCGATATTAAGGCCGGTATTCATAGGCGACTCTTATATTTCAGGTTGTCTTAAGTACAGTCTTAAGATGTCATAAGCCAATTAAAGGCCGTATTAACATCTTAAGATATTACTTAAGACAATCTTGAAATGAGAATGGATTGTAAATACCATCTTAAGGCCATTCTACATTGGTCGTATCGTAGACGTCACAAGTCACGAGCTTGCTGCTTCAGCCAATCCGATGCTTCAATTATAAAGTCGCATAATGCTTATGATGCTTTCAACACTACGATGCGATCATTGAGTGCATTTAGAACGACAACCGCTCATTGAGCGCTCAATGAGCTCTTTTATCTGATTCCATTAAATTCTAAAATATAGACGAATTAGATAAAAGAGCTCATTGAGTGCTCAGTGAGCGGTTGACGTTTTGAATGCACCCATTATTATTATCTTGAAATGAGGTGAAAATTACAAAAATGAGCAAATTTACTAGATGTTGACCAATGAAATTATCAATATTCTAGTAAATTCGTTCACTTTTATAATTTTCATCTCGTGTTTCAAAATACAGAATCGATCCCCAGATATAAATGTTTCAACATATTTTTAAAGTATTTATGTATTGTTTTTTCTCTGGCAATAGATGGCATAAACTTTTCTTGTAATTTGTCCAACAGCTGGTCTTCTCGACCACACGTAATTTAGGTTATGTCAATGTCAACACGATGTGTGTATACACAGTATGAAATATGATAGTTTGGCGGCACTTGCAGTATTGTGTCGATCTTGAATTTGCAACGAATATATCACACACGTATATATATAATTTTTCTACAGTTTGCATAATGTAAGCAGAAAAGAATCTGGGAGTTTTAAAACATTTCAAGGATAAAGATTTATAGGAGTTTGTTAAAATGATTGTCAAATTTGAAAAGATAATAAGCTGTTCCTCCGAACATCCAAAGTTTCCTGCCGCCAATCTTCTTCAACGTAATTCAGAAAATTGGAAAGCCACATGGCGATGTAGCAAACCGGGAGAAATGCTGGCACACGTCATCTTTCAACTCGCTGAACCTTCTTACATCACGGGAGTCGATGTTGGCAATTATCAAAGTTGCGTGGTGATTGTCACTGGATCTACCTCGTCAGAACCTGACAACTGGATAGTTATCATCAACCATCAGTTTATGACAAACGATGAAGCTGCAAATAACAAATTTAAAGATCAAGTTCAATTATTTACTAAAAGAGAATTAAATCCAGACACTTTAAAGATTAAATTTGACCGAATCAAAGTTACTTGTATGCAATCAGCCAATTTAAAAGTATTGTTTGGATTGTCATACATCATTTTGAGATCAGATCCTACAATCGATTTAGGCTTAGATGCATTTGGCAAGTTCAAATTGAAACAACCACATGTTGTTAAGACACCTATGGAAATGATGAAAGAAAAAATCCTTAATAAAACAGAAAATATGAAGACAAATTATAAGACAGAATTACGTGAGCAAATAAAAAAAGATTCAATGGAGAATTTTGTTAAGTGTCAACAAGAACAAAAACTTATCAGGAGGCCATTACTAGAAAAGCTAGAAGCTGGAGAAGCCGATCAAATTTTTGGAAAAAATGATAAGACCCAACCACAATGTTCAAAAGATAAAGATAAGACCGTTAATGAAAGTCCCAAAATTACTAAAAATGAATTAAACGATAAAGTAGTGAGAACTCCTTTTGGGGACGTTGTACCTCCGCGTAATGTTGATGCTAATAAAAATAATATAAAAAATACTACTCAGCATTCTCCAAGTTTTAAGAAACGTCCTTTGATCAAGTTGGATGATTTACCAAATGTAAAATTCAATGGAAGAAAAAAACAAAAGTGCTCTGAATGCTGTTCAGATTCGCAGGATCGATTATGTACAACTTGTCAACGATTGCCAGAGCCCAAAGAGCCTATTAAAAATGCTCCTTCACAGGCAAGCAACCATGTTTCAGCCAAAAGATCATTTAAAGAATTGTTCAATGACGTTATATTCTCTCTCAGTGGATATGTCAATCCACAAAGAGATGATATTAGGAGAAAGGCTCTTAATATGGGAGCCAAATATATCCCTGATCCAAATACAACTAATAAAAAATGCACTCATTTGATATGTGCTTTTAAAAATACACCAAAATATCAACAATTCAAAAATCATACAAAAATTGTTTCTCATACTTTTATTGAGGAATGTTTTGATAAAAAAAAGAGGTAAATATATCATTCTAATATATTTTTTTATCGGAGACTGAGAAATATTATATATGAAATTTCATAAAATATGTGTTTTATAGATTTCCTTGGAGGCGATACGCTTTAGATCAAAAGGAAAAATCACAACCTGAAAGCGAAGAAGAAATTGATGGCAATCAATTGGAATCTGTATATGACATAGACACTGATGCTGATTCAGATTATTAATATTTCAATTGAATATTATATTAATTATTAATGACATATTTATCTAATTTCTTTAACTTTTATATTACATCTGTTATAATTCGTATTTGAACTCAATAAATATATTTTTATGTATAAAACATAGGAACATGTACATTTATATTAATATAATCAATTGATATACACGGTGATATATGCGCACGATTAAAATTAAATGTAATGATATAAAATCAATATTTTACGAATTATGAGCAGTGTCCTGGAAGAAAAAGATTATATTAAAAAATGACAAGATTTAATTAATAAAAAGTATTTAAACAGTTTGATTAAACTTTCATATTTAAATTACCGAATTTTTGTGTTTAATTGTTACTTAATTAACTTAACAAGATGTTGAATAGATAGATTATCAAAATTTATTTTTAAAATATACACTATTTTAATACAAAATAGATGCTTTAAAGAAAGGAAAAAATTAGTCACACACATGTGTCTGATATGTCCTTCAATCAAACATCTATTCTTTTTTTCCATTCCATTATTTCAATACATGATTTCTTATAGATTGAAATTCTTATTCTCTGTTCTCTGTTTCTTTTATTGTATAAAAGCACATAATGATTGCAGAGTTGTGATTAGTGACTGGCCTAGTTTCCATCGAGGATTTAAATCAGGGTATCAATCATGAAACTTTATCTCTAGAATGGAAAGTGAAAAGTGAAAATTATAACCATTTAAGTTAATGGAGAAATTTTTCACTTTTCATTGTGTAGGAAAACAGTTTCATGATTGATATCCAGATCAGAATATAAGAACTAACCAACTATAGTTGAGCATTCCCCTGTCGTTCGATTGTAACAGAGGAATACTCGACTGTAGTTGGTTGGTTCTTACATTCTGATCCGGATTAAATCCTCGGTGGAAACTAGGCCACTGTTTCGTTCCGCTGTAAATTTCCGCCATGGGATGGCAGCGTAAGCACGGAAAATCGAAAATGCACGAAATGCCAATGAGCGTAGAGGCGATAGAGGTCTATAGCATACAGCTCAACAGTTGTAATGCAAAATAGAGTGATGAACGTGTTGATGAAAAGACAAATGTAATAAATGACGTATATACAATTGAAAAACTTACAAGCTAATTCATCAATTTGCTATTGATTGAGGTTACTGAGAAAGATTATTGGTTCCTTGAAGTTTTTTCCAAAAAGATTATTCGTCTGCATGATTATTTAGCCACTTTTTGAAGACTGAAAATCTTTGGTTAAAGAAAAAGAAGAATTCATCAGGATGATTGATGTCACAAATGTATTTGGCTTTGAACTCTTTCAAAAACTCTATCATGATGATATCCATAAAAAGGAAGACGTAATAATTCTATTCATGCATTGGTATTTGACAAAATCTGGATTTAGATGCATTGGCATCGGAGATGATGTAAGTTCTGATGATATAAACATCTTACGATGCTGTTTGTCACTCCGCGTGTCGTTCAACACCGTAATTTTATATATTTTCATCATTCTAAGCATCTTTTATAATGTTCTTTGACACGACACAAATTTTAATCTATATAAAGTTTTCATAAAGAATACTTTTATAATTACGATTTGTTCTAAATGTAATTTACTTGGGTTTAAACATTTTCAAGAGTGTTATCAAATATATTAATAATAAACAATTTATTAAGATCATATAATAGACGTCAAATAAGAATTAAAGCCTATAATGGTTGAAGCTGGATCTTGGATGCTTAAATAATTATGTATTTAAGCATTGTAAGATCCAGCTTCGATTAAATATATTAAATTAGAATAATTAATTATGTATCACAACATAGACATTTATCAAGTGTTTAATAAGAATTTCGGACATCTACAGATAATGCATTATATGTTGTAATTATTTTTAAAATGACATTCAAATTTATAATTCTTTAGGCAACGTTTAATGCATCAGAAAAAGGTTCTGAATTAATTCCAACAGAATGGAATTCACGTCCCAGTTATGCACTACGTTATGTAAAAGATGGAAAATTACATGTACTTCTTGGAGTCAAATCAGATACAGATTTATTATTAAACTTCATGGTAATAATTATATGACAGCAGCAAACTGTCAAAATCAACTAATTATTAAAGCAATTACCTCTATAAAATGTTTATTGAATATTATATTCTTATAGAAGCACCAAGATAATTCTGTTTCTAACATTTCGTTCCCTATCGAGGAAACTGTATCTGCATTACATGGACCTTTAGAGACTGTAATACCATCCTATCAAACAATTTTACATAATGTACAAAAAGATTTTGTAAGTATGATATGTTCTAACGAAGCAGGGACGCAAACAACCGTACTAAATAGTCCTGGAAGTTCCTCTGGAACGAATGAGGTTCCTCCTATTGATTCTCGAGCTGATTCTCCATCGTCTTCTGGTAATCGAGCATTAAATCGGTAATTTTTCAATTTTGATTTAATTAATGTCCATATAAATTTTTTATATTTTATTATGTCCACATAAGATTTTTTTATATTACTTCAAATTTTTGAATTACACATCTCAAGTAAAAAAGAATTTAGACTGCAACATTTATAAAGAAATCGATATTATTATTATATTTTATACACAATAAAATCAATAGGCTCTAAAGAAAATTCTGTTTTTTTAAGGTTTGTTGTACATGTTCCATTGAACTGTTCCATTTACTGTGTAATACAAATGTGAATAAATTAAAAAATTAATATAAATAACAGTAAAAAGAGACAGTGTATCGTTTTGTAAATTCAGGCCTTATTTTTGTTTTTTAATATGTATCATCTCTGATAACAATCTTTTATGTAAAATTTGCTTTTTGTCTAAAATATATACGTTATCCCAATCAAATTCATAAAATAAGTCCATCCGATGTCGTATGATAACCGAATATTGGATTGTGTTTCTATTAATATAATTCCTATGTTTACTTATGCGTGTTTTTAGGCAAAACGATACACTTTCTCTTGATCCGTTATATATTGAACTATTTTCAGAGACGTAATGCTTCCAATCTATATATCGTTTATTTATTATTTATATTTTTACTTATTGTCTTTGTAAGTACATGTTCTGTTGCCCACTATTTCTCTCAATTTTCATTTTACATCTGTCTACCAAACAGTTATGTCGTGTCTAATATCTTTAAATTTTGTTTCATGTAAGTGAACTAAAGTTAGATTTTTACTGTTATTTATATTAACTTTTTAATTTATTCACATTTGTATTATACAGTAAATGAAACAGTTTAATGGAACATATACAACAAACCTTATAAAAACAGTTCAATCTTGACAATTATGTAAGTTTTTTTTTTACTATTTTTAATGTATAATTTCATGTTAGCATTTTTTAAATCATTTTTAACCTTTTGAGTCGGTCGCGTTTTAAAACAAAAAATATTTTTCTTTTTAGTTAAATTAATAATTTAATGACAAAAATTAACCCGGATATCACCATCACGGTTTTTTTCTCGCTTTTTATGTTATTAGTTTAAACTCGTATGCGCTATCATTATGTAATTTTAATATATTTTTTTGTATTAAAGAGGGCCTTGACCGTAGGTCGAAACGTATACGTTTAAATATTCACTTTGAATAAATGGTATTAAAATACACACTAATAACCAGTGTCGGCTCACATTGGCATTTTATTTATTATTTTTTAGTATTATATTTTATTATGTATAATAATGTAATGTATATGTGCAAATTTATATGTTGCTTTGTAAATTTTATTATTTCTTTCTGATATAAAAAAAAACAAAATGTCTTTTCATTAGACATTCAATATATTATTCTATCTTAAATCATCTAATATTTTAGTTCAGATTATTTAATTTTTAGTCATAATAGACCTGAATATGTGGACGTAGGAAGTAGAGATCTTAATCCATTTGGAGAAGGCAGTGGTATGATATTCGATCCATATAGCCAGAGGCGTCGTCAAATGCAACGTCCAAGGATACCTTACCAGGACGTAATATCTGGATTATTGCCGCTGTATGTTATATGACTAAACTAATGCATAGTGCGTGTGAGAATCTATTTTTTAATTTAAGAATCAATTTAAATGTAATATTACAGAAATGCGGTACCACCTGGTGCAAGATTCGATCCTTTTGGTCCACCTGAACCGGACCTAATGAGACCACATCGTCGTAGACCCGATGATGACCATTTACCTCCTCCACAATATGATGATATGTTTTTGTAATAAGTTACAGAAAATTAAATTTGATGAGAATGAAGGTATACAAGTATAGACAGACAGTTTCTTTATATATTAAATGTCTATAATATTATGCCATTTCACTAATATATTTCTTCTACAATATGTATTATTATATTGTAAAGAACCGTACATACGAAAGATATATAAGTATTTAGTATTTCTTTGGGGATGAGAATAAAGCCAAAAAATTTATTTATATTTAATATACATCAAGGTATAAGAATTATTATAAAACGTTTCTTTTTTCACAAAACAACTTCCATTCCTTTTTATTTCATAATTGATGTTTACAATGTAACAAAACGATTTAATTTAATGTTTAATTTAATTAAAACTAATTGTGTAATGATATAGAGATAGGAAATTATATTGAAAAATTAAACAGTAATATTTATTTATAAATTGCGCTAACTCGTTATTTTTTATTTCTTGTTTAATCAATTTAATAATGTAGGGAGTGATTGTTCTTATTTTATGTCGGTTCAAAATAGAGGATTTCTTTGCTATCTAAATTGTTCTTCCTTGAAATATTCACATTAGACATATGATTAAACACAAGAGATCTTGATCAATACATAAAATTATTGTATTATTTAGATCGACATCAAGTAGTTATTTAAAAAAAATAATTTCCATTATAATTGCATTTGTTTTTTGTGTAACATTAATATATTGCAGCAATTCGATTCATTTCTTCGAGAAATAAAATATTTCATATTATGTATTGTTATTGCACAGCAGATCAATTTTTACATGTTATATTTTTTTTGTAATTGAATATTAATCCAACAAAACAGCAACGTGTATAATTTTCTATAATTATTAGCATCACAGCTTTAATAACCACAGTTTACTTCTAAGTCTATACTTTTTTTTTAATGCATATTAAGAAAATTATATCACAGATATAAAAAGAAATTATTTAACAATTACACCTTGAAGAAGTGAATCGATGTGCAAGGGTAATAATTAAAAAAAAACAATGAAAATTATACTGGTAACTATTAAAATAATATCTATTTCGTCACGAATATCGCATGATTTTTTTTTTAGAGAAAAGAATTGTATTAAAGAAACATGTTAAATTGCTGTAATTATCATAATTGAGTTAAAATTAAACGAATAAAAGTAATGATACTTTTGCCTCTAAGGTTGAATCATTTGCTTTTATATATATCTGAATATCCCTCGTCCCATCCTCTGGTAAAAAATATTGCAGTTTTTAATATTACAAAAAAGGAGCGGTATCAGATTTTAATTTCGATTCGAGTCTGCGATTATAGTGAATGTACCCCATTGTCACTTGTTAAAGAATACGTACATAAAAGTAAATTAAAGTTGTCTCCTGTCTTCTATTTGGTAACTAAGTAATCGATTCCTAATAGATTATGTCAACCGTGTTTAGTTATCGCTTGTAGGAGGTAAATTGCCAATACACGATTAACAAATGTGTAATGATACGTAATCATTGGTATCATGTTCTGGAACACAACGCGGATCTCTTGGGTGTCTCAGGAATGGCAATTAAATTTGTTTGGTTGAATGTAGTAATACATAGCAATCAGACTTGAGTGCCATACAACCATTGTGCAATAGTTTCATTTCCGGTACGCATTGTTACCCATTGTTGAATAAGATAATCAGAAGCAGATAGCATACAAAATAACGTACATTCACATGAAATCAGCAGACACGTGAAATGTTCTAAGTATTATATTTCATTATTATTTTACGAGTGAATTTTTCTATCCTTTGAACACAGTTTAGTGTGGCGTACACAGCATCATTGACAATTTTATCAAAATAGAAGACGATGATGACTTTACATAATATGTTTGTATACCAGATTGAAAAATCTACTTTGACTAAAAGTTAGATATGCAAAGATTTTGATAAAATTGCCATTGAGCTACGGTAATACGTGATATACAGCTCTGGAGTGATTTACTTCACATTAATTTCTCATTATCCATCACTCAAGTTAACGCAGATTCCAAGTCCAATAAGAGTTAAAAACATCCATCAGCGGTTCGGCATGCCATTGGAAATGCAACGTAATGTGTTCGTCGTTTATTTTTCAAATTAAAAATATCTTAAATTTTATTTGAAACACTTTAGAGCTTTAATGCTCTGCAATTCATGTTTTATCTATCAAACCATTGCAAATCAAGTATCAAAAATGTGTAATTCAAACATAAATTACAAAATGTGTAATCCAAACATAAATTGTCGCTAATATTTTAGTAAATAAAATTAATATTAGTTATAATTAATATAATTCTATATATATGTAATGTATATAATAAAAAAAAAAAGAAAGAAAAAGAAGACAATATATTGCAATGTCATGTTATATAAGTGTGATGTGTTTAACATGCAAATGTATATTCCTTTTTTTAGCATAAAATCGATTTTCCTTTATTATGTCTTGATTTATTGTAGAGATGATTTTGATATTGAAATTTATTATTTTGTAGTTATAACAGAGATAAATTGTATCGGAAAAAATTATGTGAAAAGCCATTTTTTTTTTAAAAGAATATAAGTATATGTATTTTCATTTTATTTCAATCGCATGCGAAAAAAATCTATATATAAAATCTTTCTAAAAAGTATTATCGTATTTGACGTTCAAAGCAAATTTCTTCTATATATTTTATTTAAAAAGAAATATAATTAGATGTAAATATTAATTATATGTAAATTAATTCCAATTTGGCTACTTTTACACATCTTGAAATTTAGTTTGCAATCAAATGTGTAGCATTTTCTAGAGATTATATATTTGCGAATTATAAATTCTTTATTTCTGTTTGTGTGTATGCGTTTGTGTGTATATATGTGTGTGTGTATCATACGAATGCAACACAATTTACTATCTTAATAAAATAACAAATCGATAATAATATACTGAATGTGTCACATTCATTATACATCTACAATTATATTGATTTTCCTACATTTTTCACTTTTCTAATTAGGAAAATCATATTTTCTTTTTGTTTATTACAAAGTGTTTATAAAGAATTTTGGTCTTAAGTATATGTTGCATAATGTACGAATTTGTACATGTATATATAAACAACTCTTACGTCACGATTTACAAATAAGTAAGGTTAAATGGCAATAATATAGTTAATTGATTTTTAAAAATAATTATTACCATTTCAAGATTTAACTTTTGTTCTTTAATGGTCAATATTGATTAAGTTATCAAAAATAACATATAATTTATCTTCATAAACGGAAATAGCAACGATTTTGAATCGTATTCCTTTGCGTTATATAATGGCTCATCCCGAAATATAAAATTGGGTAATGTAAAATATGCTTCAAAGTTGATTGATAGTTATCAAGCAACGCGTTGCATTTCCAGTGATAGACCATTCAGAACAGATTTGCTACAATATGCCACTTGTTGTCAGGCGCAAAATTCTACACATTTATACCAATCAGTATGAATTAGTGTGACTTTTTTCCCCATCTTCTTCTTTTCTAAAGTGTTCTTTGATCTATTGAATGCAGCAAGAATTTTTTTGTCCATTCTTGAGCTTCAATCGAGATTTAGGACGATACTTTTCAAGAAAAGTTAACTGCTTCGCGTTTATGGCGCCTCGTCTTTTTCTAGAACAAAGAGAGAACAAAATCATAACAAATTCTGTTTTGCAGATAATTTCACAGTAACGTATTTCATTGTTTAAATAATCAAAAATTACGGAGTGTACACAAGATGACTTACTCTCTGATAAGGGCAACAGCATCTTCGAACTTGAGCCCAAGTTCAATGAGAGCTAGCGCAACCAAGACCGGTGCTCTACCAAGACCCGCGACACAATGCACCGCTACACATGCGTCAGGTGATTCTCGGAATCGATTTTTTAGCAACTCGAACCATTCATCTACCACCTAGAAGATTTATATGAATAATGGAATATACAAATGATTTACTTTCATTCGAGTTTTCCTACTTTTATTTCAATAAAAACAGACCAAAGATAAAAACTTTACCTCGTTTGGTGGAAATGTACCGTCGTCGAATACCAAATCTATCACATTGATCCCTTCTGATTTCAGTTCCTCTACTTTGTACGTTGGTTCGCAGACTCTTACCACCTCCTTTACATTGTGCTTTTTCAGTTCCTATTAAAGAAATTTAATGCAATTTATTTAGTAGATAAGAATAAAAATAAAGATTTGGCGCAATGTCTCGCGGACAGTTTCGTTCATATACTAACTTGAATAAAGGTATGGATGGTTTGATCATTGGGCCGATCAGTAATGAGGAACTTCATGTTTTTGTATTCAATCTCGGCGGGCGCCGGTCTGATATCCTTCACCCTCATGTTGCTCATTTCCTTCTTAACCACAGAGATGATTATAAATCTATCCTCTCTTATTGTTTTTAACTCTTAAAGATCTCGTACGTGTGCCACACTATACGAAGCGACAAAGGCTGGATTTGACAACTTAGCCCATTAAATGTCAGTCTTATAAAGTTGTTTTTCATTTAACTAATAGAATATATTATTTTTTTACAGAGGACAGAACCGTGGGTTTACATGTAGAATTTAGAAAGGATCGTCGGGATGCGAACTTCGCCGAAAAAGTAAGGGCTACGTTACATTAGGCGATGTTGATATGCGCTTTTTATTCTTCCCACTCAAAACTTTTTGACTATAATTCACGGAAGATTACCTGAAATCAATATAATTGTAAATGATGAGTATAATTTAATTATTTATTAAAATGGAGAAAAAGCTTTTTTACAACTTTTTTTTTTTTTGGAGATGCTACTCTTACCTATTTGGCACTGGGTGCTCCTGTGACAGGTGCGCTCAGTATCTACGATGCTTGCATCTACTAAGGTAAATTAATAATTTCTATTAAATTCTTCTATGTCTTGCGTGATGACTAGTTGATGATTTTTCTGGCTTCCCCGGGTGATAATTCTCTACTACTTTAATATCTTTCTTCCTTTCTCCAAGGTGTTTCTAGCCTTCCTCTCTTTACCTTAACGATGTCTAATAATTGTCAGGGAGTATGGGCGTGTCTCTCTATTTGTGTTGAGCCTGGCAGTATTCTGCGCTATCCAACTGAAACTCCATGTATGTGAGGATGCACTCA